AGGAGATCATGACTTAATTATTAATTCACAACCTAAACAAAATGACGTGCTACAAAACAGTATTAAAAGAGGCACCCGTAGTTTCACATCCAATCTAAGGCGCCACTCCAGGTTCAGTGTGGTCACCGAGCTTGGGAAAATGCAGCCAGCTATGTTTCAGGGGCCCCTCTTTCAATAAGGGTGACTTCACCATTGCTGGGAACTTCTGGATCCAAGCAGGTGTTTATTTAGGATTTATCTAGTGAGGCTAAGCCTCGAGGAGGAGGACCTTAAAGTTTGTCCTCCCCGATCTCCCCACCTGATGGCTCCTCTCATTTCCGTAGAGGAAGTGACTGGAGCTAAGAGCTTCCTGTGGTCTCACAGCTGTGTCTCCTCACACTGGGCTCTGTTGCGTAGACCCTGTTGTGTTCCAGGACTGGCCACCGAGGAGCAGACCACCCTCCGGTGGCCAGGGTTGAGCCTGGTCTAGGGGGTTCCTAGAAGAGGAATAGGGATCAGGACCTGCACCCACCTCCTGAACTTTGCAAAGTTCACTTCTGTTCAGAGCCTTGGCTGGCTCCCTGCGACCCAGTGAAGCTCTTGCTTAAGCTAAGCTTTTACTCCTCGATGAGGCACCCGAGTCCCTGCCTGGGCTGGTCCGCTCTACCAGGCTCCCACACGTCACCTGCATCAGTTTGCTGGGAATCGTCAGGTATAGGCCATGCCATGTCCCCATTGCATGCATTTATTTAGGCCTGTAATTGAGGGATGGAGTTAAATCCCCGTGAGAATAACCCAGGCCACAGCGTGGCCACTGTCTTCAAAAAGGGTGGCAGCCACAGTCCCCGTTGCGGGGACCGTAGGTGGCTGACTTGGTGGAAGGAATCTGCCTGCTTCATTTAAATATCTGATGAATTCTGGTTGACTTATTTGGAAGTGAACCTCCAGCAGAGAGCAGGCCTGGCCGTCTGTCCCTAGCTGCACGGAGCTCAGCCCGAGGGTGTTTGGGTGGTAATAACTCGGCCACTGTCCCTGTCCAGAATGGTGGGGGGACTGTCAAATCTGCCACGGGTTGTCTGAAGCTCTCCCCAGCCCCGAAACCTTCCATGTGTGTGGATTAGGAGCTATGCTGGGTTCGATGTGGTTCCACGTGTAGAAACCCCACTTGGAACCACACAGCCGTCTTTAGGGGCGGGCTCCCCTCTTCTGTGGTCACTTCAGCCCTCAGTGGGACTCCCCATCCTGTACACGTGCTCACGCTGGGTGGTCTCACTTCAGCCCCCACTTCACCACCCATGACTCTCATGTCTGTATCCTCCACCCCAGACCTGGGCATCTGCACGGCTGCCCTTTTATAACCCATAGACACAACGGGTTCCTGGATCAAATTCACAGTCCTTCCCCTAACACTTTCTTCTCCCATCGCCCCCCTCTTAGTCCATGCCTGGCTGTCATCCTAGACTCTGTCCTTTATTTTATCCCCAGCACCAGGTCCTGTTTACCTCCTCACCCATTCTGAACTGTCCCCTCCCTTGCCCCCGTCCTGCTGTCCATTAGACCCTCTCCACCTCCCACAGTAGTCTCCAGGGTGTCACTTTCCCTCTACTGTGGTGGCCAGACTGACATTTGTAAACACAGAGCTGATCTTGCCTGTCACAGTTGTCCCCTGGGATGACCAGGTCTCCTTAACATGGCACACTAGACCTCTGCATGCCTCCACAGCCCCGCCCTCCGCCCATCCCCCCACCTGGAAAAATCTGTCCATCAAATGTCATCTTCTCCAGAAAACATTCCTGATCGCTGAGCTTGGTTCTTTTTTTTTTTTTTTTTCCCTTTTTGTCTTTTTTACTGACCGGTAACCGGATCGCAACCCTCGGTGTCGCGCCCGTACCGG